TCCTGCAGAGTTTAGCTCCAACTTGCCTCAACACACCTGACTGGAAGTTTCTAGTATGCCTAGTAAGAGCTTGATTAGCTGGTTCAGGTGTGTTGATTAGGGTTGGAGCTAAACTCTGCAGGACACCGGCCCTCCAGGACCGAGTTTGGACAGCCCTGTGCTAAATGAACAAACAAAAATAATCACGGGCATGATTATAAAAGGCAAAAAGGTCTTCAAAAATTATCACACTTATAATCTTTAGAAATGAGTGAGAAATACAAAAAACAAAACACACAATTTTTTTTATTTCTCCCACCAGATGACACCAAACTGCTTTCAATACACTGGATTTTAAATACCTTTGCTAGATTTTTGCTTAAAAACTGTATTATTATTATTATTTTTAAATATTTGGGATTATTTTATATAGAAATAAATGGTGTATAATTTAAAAGTATTGTCTAGGACCATGAAATATTTAATACAAAATATTTAAGAATATATTTTATTGAAAAAAAATATATATATAGTATTTTCAATACACTGGATTTTAAATACCTTTGCTAGATTTTTGCTTAAAAACGGTATTATTATTATTATTTCTAAATATTTGGATTATTTTATATAGAAATAAATGGTGTATAATTTAAAAGTATTGTCTAGGACCATGAAAAATTTAATACAAAATATTTAAGAATACATTTTATAGAGAAAAAAATAAATATATATATATATATATAATACGTTAATTTCATTAAAAAAAAAGAGTGTTAAAATAAAGCAAAACATGGATGGATAAAAACAAGCAAATTTACACACAGAAGAGCAAGATTTTACCCGAGTTTGAGCATGTTGATCATGTCGAAGTTGACAACATCAAAAACTTTCATGGCCTGATCATCACCCACAGAACAGAAAAGCGCTCCCTCCGCACTGACGGAGATACACTCGACCACTCCTACGAGACAACAGACAGTAGAGTCACTCCTACACTCGGCCAGAGACAACAGACAAATTAGTCACAAATACTACTTTTATACATCTTCTGAAAGAAACCAAAAACACTGCCACAATGCTAGGGCTGCTGTAAAGTTCTGAAAAATGGTTGGGAGGGTGTTGCTATGGTGTTCTAAATGGTTCGCTAAGCGCTTGCTAGGATGTTGCTCACCAGATGTAGGAACAGAAAACCTACCCAAATGGCTGCGGAAGTGCTTGACAAACTCCACTCCTTCATCCTCTTTCTTCTTCCAGAATTTCACGTGCCCATCCTGACTCGCTGTTATGGTAAAATCAGTTCTGGGATGGTAAAAAAGTCAATTAAATGCACTTGTGTTAAGGTTGTAAAATTGATTAATCGCAATTAATCGCTTCCAAAATAAAAGTTTGTGTTCATGTGTCTACTGTGTACATTTATATTTTTTATTTATTTATGTTTTAACGCCACATCAGCAACAATGGCTATATTCATGGCAACATTAACAGTATAATTTCAATACATCATTTACAATAATATAACATTTTCTTAAGAAGCAATGACTATACAGAAACATACAAGAAACAACAATAGTACTGACAAAAACCATATACAATCTTTCAGTTTAATCAGTGATAAAAATTCTAACATTCTTCCAGGAGAGACTTTAAAAAAAATGTCTTTTAATATATTTTCTGAGTAAAAACGTTGTGTAATATCAAGTAAAATTGGACATTTTATTAAAATATGTTTTACACAAACTGGTTTCTCTTCCCCTTTCAATAAACATGAATGAGTGAGTCTTGATTGTCCAATTCGACATCTTGTATTTCAAACCTGGTCATATCTATTTTCAAACCTGGTCATATCTATTTTCAAACCTGGTCATATCTATTTACTACTGGATTCACCTCATATACTTTGTTGTATATGCATTCATTCCATTCGCCATTTATTATTAATGTACAGATTCAATAAAGGTTTTACATCAGATATTACATTCTGTTATTTATTTCCGACTGAAGAGCTTCCTTAGCCGCTTTATCTGCCTCTTCATTGTCGACCAATCCCATATGGCCAGGAATCCAACAAAAAATGATGTAAAAAATATTGTTTCTTTAAAGAATCTACTTTTTCTAGTATACTAACAATTGTAACATGTTCAGTTTTCAAAGACTCGAGTGCTTGTGGCAGGATTATATGTATATATAAATACACACACATTTAAAAAATTTATGTAATATATATTTATATATTTGCAAACTTTCATTTGGTTTTCTGTACATAAGGTTGTAAATTCGGCTTGTCAGATTAGGCAAAATTTTCTTGCTGGCTGATGATGACTTTTGGAGTCATTCGTTTAATTATATATATATATATATATATATATATA